ATAGTAAAGAGAAGCATATATTAAAAAATAACTCGGCTGTGGGGTGTAGGTGACATACCAGGGCATTAGCTAAAGAATTACTGCAATGGTCAAACCCTTAATTAAGTGATTCAGAAACAACCTGCGTTATTTCTGTGATAGTCCATAATAGAACAAAAAGAAGTTCTACGTAAGTCAGGTGTGTGTAACACATGATCGTACTTGATAAATAAGATGCTTTATGTTTGATTTGAATAGGCGTGCTATTATTATGTTACAAAGAGAGCGTGGCAATGACATCCGTTTAACAACAGCAGGTGTGGTAAATTGAGAGAGTAGCACAACACTGTGACAGAGTTACAGCGTCAGTTGTGCTTCATGATGGTTTTTGAAAACATTTGAGATGGTAGATCATGAGGTTTAGATGATTTCTTGGCTGTTTGAAGCGTGTAAGAGCAAAATGTACAAAGCATGGAAGCATAAACCAGAAAATCAATGTTTGAGCTAAAAGACATTTCAGTACAGTAGCTGAGTAAAAGTAAAGTTACTCCACTGTTCAAGTATTGATCTTGATCGGGTAAGGCAGCTGCCACACCTGCAGCAGGTTTTACACCATTGATCACAAAGCCGTCAGTTTCTCAACAAACCAGATCTACAGGAAAGAATGAAGCAGGTGTGGGGCAAGAAAATAAAGCGTGATTAACATGTTTTATATTTTATTCAGACAGTTACCTCCCAGTCATGACTGTTAGTTCTTGCATCAAGGAACATCTGATGATTTTCTTTCAACTTACACATAAAATCAAACAGATTTCACACCACACTGTTTATACTGTGTTAGTGAGTAAAATCAAGTTTTCATATTGAAATGGTCAACAACTGCCATTCAAGTAGGAATGAAAACTGTTATGGAGTATAAGCTGATTAAATAGACATCTACAATGATCACTGTTTTTTTCAGATATGTTGATTTTGAGATTAAAAACACAACATTTGTTAGCAAATTAATCGTTCTTTTTGGACTTCTTTCTTTTGTTTTATCTTGACCTCTGTAGGATCTCTGAGTTTGTGTCCCTCTCTTAGACAAACAAACACGAAGCTACATTATGACAAAAACTGTATGATTTCGCTGCATGCATTATTAGCCTCACAAATATGAAGCCTAAAATATTGCAGTCACTCTCTAGTGGCTTACTACAGTACAGGTAATGTGAGGTACTTGATGTTATGTTTATGTTACTTCAGTTACTTTATGAGAGCATCTGGTCCTCACAGTGTGTGCTGATAAAATTCTGGTCCTTGGACAAATGTAGTTGATAACCCCTGATCTATTTAGACACCATTTATCATTAGTAGTATATGTAGAGGACAATACTTGATGTAAAGCATTTAGGCTTGATCTTCATCAGTTGTAGAAAAGTTATTACAGGGTTGTTTCATAACATTTGGTCCTGATTTTATTTGAAAGTTTCAACTGTTATAAACAAATGGAATTGTCTGAACAAAAAGTCAATTATGGTTTCAACGTCAAAATGAAAGATGATGGCTTAATGACACAAGACGCAAGGTCATTCTCATTTGTTAAAAACTTAATAATGTAAAAAAGAATTCCTGTGTTTTTTGTGATGCACGAATACTTGTTATTGAATTGAAGAGGAAAGGTGTGGTAAGGTGCTGTGACATAATGATTTGACAAAAGAAGAGTTAATTGTATGAATGGTCATGCTGTAAAAATGTGAACACATGCAATTGTGAGGTCACCTGTTCAGTATATAAAGTGCAGTGCTGCTCCTCAGCTTTAGTATCACAGTCCAGGCAAACTAATCTGCAGAACTGACCTGTTCATCACAATGAAGCTGCTGTTTTCTCTGTTTCTTCTCTGGGCACTCTCCACCACAGGTAACTACACTCATTTCACCTGCAGGAAGAAGAGAGTCTAATTTAAAGCTTTAAATCTTTTATTTAAATCTTGGCCAGCATGGTGGCACGGTGGTTAGCACTGATGCCTCACCGCAAGAAGGTCCTGAGTTCAATTCCACCATCAGGCCGGGGTCTTTCTGTGTGGAGTTTGCATGCTCCCCGTGTTTGAGTGGGTTCTCTCCGGGTACTCCGGCTTCCTCCCACC